CTGGATTTGTCCTCTGGTGTTTGTGGGCCTGGAGAGTCGCACTGCCTGGGGATGTTGTTTGTCAGCCAGATTGATTGGCAAATATTCCAGCTTCCTCCCACCAGCCGTATCAGATACAAAAAGGTTACACATGTGGAAAGAATATTGATTTTTACTTAGCAATGGTAGTATGGAAGGAAATAATAGATTACAAGTCTGCATCTGACTGGGCTGTCAACTCTACTCGGTTGTAGTCTTGGGTTCTAACTGCAGGCAAGGTTATCCGAGTTTATATATTTTGCCCTTTAACAGAATCTCTGGCTTATACTAAAAGTTTATGTACACAATTTAAGAAATTCCTAACAATTATAGTTCTGTAAACCATATTTTGCATATTTAACCCTTATGCTTTGAAACAAATGAAAAAAGTACTTTGATATTTACTTAAAGTCTATGGGCTAAATGTACTATTTTATTTTATTCTATTTTTCTATTTTTCTGTCTATTCTATATCAATTTAATTTTATAATTTTATTTGTATTTTTCTCCCTTTTTATTTTAATTTTATTTTCTCCTATTTTATTTATTACATTTTATCCCGTTTTATTTTATTTTATTTTTACAAACTGAGTAGCAATGTTATGCTAATCATTTAACCTTTATTTATTCTAGAAAATAATTTCATTTTATTTATTTTTTTTTCCCAATTTTGTTTTTAAAAATTAATTTAAATTATTATTTTTTTAATTTACAAACTGAGTAACAGTGTTATTTTCTATACTAATCATTTAACTTATTTTTATTTTTTTTATTTGCAAAATGAGTGCCAATGTTATATTCTATACTAATCATTTTACCTTTATTTATTCTAGAACATTATTTCATTTTATTATTTATTTATTTATTTACATAATGAGTGGCAATGTTATTTTCTGTGCTAATCATTTATCATTTATTTATTCTAGAACATTATTTCATTTTATTATTTATCTCTCCAATTTTATTTTTTCCCCATTTTATTTCATTTTATTTTCCCCCATTTTTTAAAATTTTATTTACAAACTGAGTAAAAGTGTTTTTTTCTGTACTAGTCATTTAACTTGCATTTATCCTGAAACATTCACACTATTATAGTCCCTTAAGAAAAGTGTCTTCTGTTTTCTTAAGAACAATTCAACTTTAGCACAGCGATCCCCATGACAAAAATTGTGGCTGATATGTGAGCCCTTTCTAAAACAGAGCCAGACTCTGTCGTTTCTGCCCCTTCTGTTTTGCAGTTGTCCCACTGTGAGTGCAGTAGCCCATGTAAGGAGTTCACAGGCCGTCCTGCTGTTTGTTGTGTTTGTGTTGTGGCTCCGTGTGCACTTTAAGTTGAATGTCCTAATTACAGCTGGCTGGGCGTTGCGGTTTAAGGCAGGCCTCTCTCTGCAGTGCGCTGTGCGGCGAGAGGATTGAGCTGACAATAGCCTCACCACGTGCTGCCTCTCGTGATAAAAAGCCAGGCTCTACCTCTCACCGTGCTGAAATATTCTCTGTTTGCCACTTTAATTGATGTCAATAAGGTTATACTAAATTTGAAGATTTGAATAATTTGTCTTCCAGCACAATAATGGCATCACCCAGGCTACAGGCTGCTTAAGCGCAGGGCTGAATGGAGGTGTCAGGCACCCGGCGCTCTCTGCCCACATTCTGGGCTGACACCCCTTGTGTTGGCGTCCCCGCTCATCTGATTAAAACGCCACTCCTGGGGAGATGCTGAACTTACATAGGCTCAAGCTTTACTATTAGCTCAAATTACCTCATATTACAGTGAAACGTCAGTATTTGGGGAATACAGAGGATTACAGAATTTCATGACTCCATTGTGGTTTGCTGGAAATTCTTGTTATTCCTAGTTTAAATGGATCAAGGAACAGAAATAAAAACTTTAAAAGAGTATTTCACAAAAAAATCATTATTCACTCTATTTACTCATTCTAATGTGTTTACAAATCCATTTGCTGGTATTTCTCATGAATCTTCATGCTGCGCTTTACTATAGTGACCACATTTGTTGATGTACTGATCACAGTCATGTGGACATTAAATTTTGCAATGTAAAAGCTACTATATGACATCAAAAGACTTGGAATATATTGCCTATACGTCGTATGGGCACCTTTGTGGTGCTTTTATGGTGTTTTTGTCATTTTTCGAGCATAAAAAGGTAAATATGGCTAAGTCTTCCAAAGTCATATAATGGCTTTGTGTTGTGATGAACACAATGAAATTTGAGGCAATATGCATATCTATCAAATCCTGCAAAGACTTCAGGTGATGCTAACTTTGGATCGACATACAAAACTGTCAAATAATATCCTTACGTTGTAAAACTACCCTTATATATTAATCATTACGATTGCTGCCTAACACATTTGTTTTGTCTGCTTAACTGAATACATAATGTTAACTAACCATAACTTGTATTTTATTACTGCCATATGGACATTACTTTGATACACTCATCATGGCTAATAATAGAATTCTTCCCAAATGTAACATTAAAACAAGCATTTTTGATACAGCTGCTTTGAAACAATGCGTATTGTGAATATATGGTGCAGGTCAGACATCAGTGTTTGTCTCATGACTTAATGTCATTTCAATATGTTATCTAACATCTTTAATACTTTGCTATTTAAAGTCACGATAAAATGGAAATAGCAACATTTCCGTATTGTGTCATATATCCGAGTAAAAAGGATTCTTAAAAAAGACAAAATGTAAGGCTTTGACTTTGGTCTATCCGTCAGTTGCTGATTGGATGGAGGCAAATCTGAATGGCAGCTTGCAGTGTATTGTAAGAAAGGGGCGGGGTTTATACAAACAAAGTGATTGGAGAAGTCTGGCATACATCATCAGAATTATGAGGTCAAACATTTTTTTAAATGAAATATATGCACAGGTGAATTGTTCACCATAAGATCAATAATGTGCATAGAGAAAACAGATGAATTTCAGTTCATGCCAATATTAATATACCATGCATTCAACACAATAGTGCCGCATACAGTCCTGTGAGGGGCATTTCATTTAACGGCTAGAGCTGAATATAATCAGACCTCAATTAAGCGCCTGTTAAATCTGTCTCCCCTCCAGCTGCCCATTCCAGCCCCCTGTCGGGCAGGCGGTTTGCCCCTGACCCATCGCCCCGTGTCCAGGGTCATACACCAGCGCTCAGCGGCGTGACAGCCCGCTGTGTGCTGCCCCATTAATTAACACATTTCCCTCTCTCCACCACCTTCATCACAGGAAGTCTGCCTGGCCTGCTCATATCATATACCACATGAGAAGAGGGACTTTCCACACTCGTATAGCCCAACATGCTCCATTTCAAGCGGCCTTTTATGTATTTAATATGTTTTAAGTGCTGCATATTTTCCTGGAAGCTTCGGGAGGATATTGGTCTAAATTCACTTATCTGTTTAGGCCATGCGTCTGAGAATGTATGCACACTGGTGGGCCCATGCCTTGTTGTATTACGTTGATTTATTTCCCAACGTGCAGCTGATCATTCGGAAGTCCTCTGTCATCTCCTGGGTTGTATCAGAGTGGGCTTGATTTTGCTCGCAGCAGCTCTATGATGGGCTAATTGGTTTAGCAGGTTGGGTCCAAAGGGCAGCGGGGCGTAGCGAGCCACAACGTGAACCTGATGTTCAGGAGGATGCTTTGTTTCAGTCTGCGGATGGGGAGCATGTGGCAGGCAGAGCAACCTCTGCATGCAGCATCTCTGACCCTCTTTTTCTCCTTTCACACATTTTTTTTTTACTCTGCCTCCACCCCTTCTATCCGTTTGCTTCACACTGGTTTTGAAACAGCGTTGAATGACTCTGACTTTAATCTATCAATTATACAATGGTTCAGTTATTATTAATAGTCTTTTTTTAAATGGGTGTTTATGTGTGTACATATATGTAAATTATATATTTTATTTTATTCATTTATTTTTTGCTTTCTGTGGTAATCAACAGCATGACACCATGACTTTGTTTACAGATGGCTTTATGCACAGATTTCTATGAAAAACTATGAAAATAACTGGAAAAATCATTAGAATATTATAAATTATAAATTATCACATCTTTAGATCAGATGTGAAGGGTGCAGAAACTAAAGAAAAATTAAGTAATATTTGTAAACAAAATATTTTATTGTGCATCATTAAGCAGTACATCCGTCTTCAACATTGATCAGCAAATTTGAAAAATCAGCAGAACAGCAAATTAGACTGATTTCTGAAGGATCATGTGACACTGAAGACCCGAGTAATGGATTCTGACAATAAATTACATTTTAACACATATTAAAATAAAAAGTAGGCCTAGTTATTTTAAATTGTAAACATATTTCACAATATTACTGTTTTTACTTTTAATCAAATAAATACAGCCTTGGTGAGCATAAGCGACTTCTTTCAGTAAAATAATAATGATTCCAAACATTTTTACCAGTAATGTATATATTAAAATATTACTATTATTATTGTTTCCAGAGTTTACTGGGTTACATTTGCTGTAAACAATATTACACGAAACAAGGGCAGACCTTGTAGAGTGTCTAATCTCCCAATCTCTGGGGGCATCTAATATGAGTGTTTATTATTTTAATCATTCATGAGGGTTGAGACTCTGGGATGGCTGAAGGCGCCAGATTAAATTCTCCCTGGGAGCTTGTTATGAAGAAAAGCCTCAGGACAGACAACCCTGGCACTCTCTGAACACCCCCTCTACCACCCGGCTCTGCGCTGGTCCCTTCTGTGTCTGTTATTTACCCTGACACTGTTTTTAGCCTAGTAAATGCTCCCTTGGGATGCAGGAAAGGGGTCGTTGTGAAGATGTTTAACCCCTATCAAGGATGAGGCCTTGAACTTCGCGTGACATGCAGTGACCAACAATGAATCGGGAAACCGATTTACTGCCTATGATGAAGTGGTTTCCATATCTTTTTGCTGATCCTGACTCTCGCTCCTTTCTACCCACCAGGTGATGAGCATCCTCAGCAACCCTAGTGCCGTGGCCCCTCAGCCCCAGCATGAGTTCTCCATCTCCCCCCTGCACAGCGGCCTGGAGGCCTCCAATCCCATCTCAGCCAGCTGCAGCCAGCGCTCTGAGCCTATCAAGACCGCTGACAGCCTGCCCTCCTCCCAGTCCTACTGCCCCCCTACGTACAGCACCACCAGCTACAGCGTGGACCCCGTCACTGCCGGCTACCAGTACAGTCAGTACGGCCAGAGTAAGCGCCTCTCTTCTCTTTATTTATAGTGTTTGTTGCATTTACTCCAACAAACCCATCAGACTCAAGTTGCATGTAAGTCGCTTTAGATAAAAGCAGCTTAAATTAGTAAATATAAAAATGACACCAAACCTGAAATGTGTTCCTTTTAACTCTTAATAGAAATTTATTTTTAACATTATACTGCAGTGGTTCTCAACCAGGGGGCCGCAGCAAACTTCTTCCAAGGGGACCTCAAGATGACTTAAAATGATTTAAAATAAGACAAACAATTTTTTTAAATAAGTTCAAATCAAGACTAAACTGACATTTCTTATTTAATTTGTTCCCTCAACAACTGTTATACTAATTCAAGAACCAGGACCTTCTTAAAAAGTAGTTCATTTAAAAAGGTCATGTATTTCATCCATTTCATCCCTCTGTTTTTATAAACCATATGACTTTCTTTCTTCTATGGAATGCAAAAGAAGAATTTTTTGTTGAATATCCTGGACACTTTTTTTTTCTCCATGTAATGAAGATCTCTATTCAACTTGTGCAATAATGCACTATATCCCATATTTTCAAGCCATATGATAGAAACAGACCGAAATGTAAGTCAAATTAAATCATGCACTATACATTTTTCTCATGAATTCTCTATAACAGATCTATCAAATGAATCAAATGAGCTAGTACACAAAACTGACCTGAATCATTTGGGTCCCACTTTATATTAAGTGGACTTAACTACTATGTACTTACATTTAAATGAATCATTTGATACAATGCACTTATTGTGTACATACATGTTTTTACATTGCAATTATATTTTTGAAAATACCTGCATGTAATTACATCTGTAATTATTTTTTGTAATTACATTCATAATTACACTGACCCATCCCTTACACCTTAACCCACCCTTATGCCCATCAATACCATCAAACCTGTCCCTAACATTACCCGCCTCAATAGCAGCAAAAGTGTTTTGCAATACAATATGAACACAATAAGTACATTGTATTTATTTTTGATGTAAGTACATGGTAGTTACACTCTTAAAAATAAAGGTGCTTGAAAGGTTGTTCACAGCGATGCCATAGAAGAACCATTTTTGGTTCCACAAATAAGCATTCAGCCAAGGTTCTTTAAAGAACCATCTCTTTCTTACCTTTTTATAATCTGAAGAACCTTCTTTCACCACAAAGAACCTTTTGTGAAACAGAAAGGTTCTTCAGATGTTAAAGGTTCTTTATGGAACCATTTAGACAAAAAAGGTTCTTCTATGGCATCGTGAAGCACCTTTATTTTTAAGAGTGTAAGGCCAGTTAATATAAAGTGGGACTCAATTTTTATTTAGAAATTGCTAGTAAATTTCTCAAACAATTACACAGAAATATCAAGTATCACATTTACCACTTTTATGATTAGTGGCATCGCTTTCTATCATATGGAAACGAGTACCTAGTTATTCATTAAATGATTTACAATTCAGTTAATTTACATTCCGTTATTTTAGTTGAATTTAGTACCGAATCCTAACGTTTGAGGGAACTATTTCTTTTAAGTACTCCCCGTGGTGCGAAATCACTGATTTAGCCCACCTGTCTAATATTTCATTGAAATGCGGGAGGCAGCTTAAGGGCGCACTTTGTAGAGATGCGTGTGTTGGCTGTGACCATGAGTGTCAGAGAGCAGATTCGCTGCTCCTCTTAGGGAAGGCAGAGATTCAGTCTGAGCGGGATTTAAGGAGTAAACGGGGCTGACAGGAGAGAAAGGCTTCCTGAGGGAGAGAGGTTAAATGAGCTGTGATTACTCTCTCTGCTAGCTGTCAGCACCAGTGTCTCCTGTACAGACAGCTAGCCCACCCACAGGTATGCGGCTGCTACCGTATGTGCCGCCGTCCCTGACAGATTCCTTTTTGCTCTTGCTTACAGACGCTAACGTGCGCAGCTTACTGTCACACTGACAGATGTCTGGCACCGTCCGTGTGCACCCTCGCTCTGCCCCGCCTCAACACTTCTGCTAATGATGAATAAAGGAAGGAGAGGTTCAAATAACACCTCCTCGACTGGGGTAATCAAAGGGCCTCCGACCAAAAAACATCAGAGGCTCTTGACGTGCCAGCAGCTAATGCCAGCGCGCTAATGCTGGCCTTTTTTATATCTATTAATCGTAGACGTCTCCGTCGTGATGCGTTTTGTCATTACCGTTGACGTTTTGATCAAATGATCACTGTGTTTACCACTTGTCAGAAAAGGAGTGGCTGTGGTCGCAATGCCAACTCCAAAAACACTCAAGTAGCGCAAACTCAATCCTGTCAGTTTCGAAATGCAAAGCCCTCAGGTTTAACCTCCTCCGCTTGACTGTTTCCACTTCCTTTTTTTCCATTTCGGCTTTGAGGATGGGGATGGGAAACGTCTATGCAAATAATTACCTGAAGGTTACAGCTAGCGCAGTGCTAACTTAATAAGTAAACCAATTCCAGTTGGACTTAGCGAGGGAGGCCTTTTCTGTGGCTAGAGGGGTTAATTGGAGCTTCCCCAGTTTTTTGCGCCGCACCACTTCTGTCCTGTCCTTGGTTTGTCCTCGCAACCCCAAAAGTCTTTTTCCACCAATCAAATGTCCTTAATGTCTTTAGCTCATGTTTTTAAATTGAAACAGTGTGAGAAGGGAGGCAGATCAATGCTGAGGTCCTGGGTTGCGAGCGGGACTCTGGGTGCCCTCTGACCCTGGATTAGCCCGCGGGATAGAGTCGACACGTGCTCCTGATAAAGATCTCCCAGCGAAGCCAGACTCCAGATCAATCCAATGCGAGCCGTGCCCTCAGGTGCTGTGTTAGTCACACCGTTTTGTGTGCTACACCTATCTGGTGGGAATCTCGCCACTCTTCCTGCCGTCTCTCTCCTCTCTCTCTATAGCATTTCGCGCAGACGTACAGATACATATCTCGATCAACAGTAACAGTTTTCTCAGGCGTAGAAAATCGAGTGGACTCGTATCTAAATCTACTCAGTAGAGCTGAAAAAGTTTTAGCTTCAACTTTTCTTCCCCAACTGATTGTGTTCAAAAGAACTTTAAAAAGGCCTGTATTTATTTATTTAAATCTTGTCTATGCCAATTTGGGAGGCTTTTTTGGGAAGATGGATGGATGGAATAGATTGGTGTGTCACAATATAATGTTATATGATGGGAAGTGTGGAATTTTGAGAAGAGGATGACAGACATAATGAGGAATGTGCTGAGGAATACTCGCTATGAAAGGAGTGAGTAACAGTGGGGAACAGGTGCTCTGTGTCTCTGGAATCCGCAGTGTGTTTGTGAAAGCTCACAGTGATGTGAAGTGTCTGCTCTGAAACTCAACCCAAAACTAAAACCAAAGTAGTATGCTTATACGGATCAATGACAAATAAGGTTGTCTAAGTTGAAAATGTAGAAAAGTCACCTTTGTATGCGTTTTGGTTTTTATACATTAAAAAAAAAACGTTTTTGGTTTATTTTGATTTTGATTCAAAGACTATAAAACGTCAAGTGGTATAATTGTGAAGTTAAAAGTAATACAATATTTCCCAAACGTAATCATAATTTTCAAAAAATTGCTTATATGGATCAATTACAAATAAGATGACCAAGATGAAAATGTAGAAATATAACCTTTGTATTCATGTTTATTTCATACATTTTTTAAATGAAAATGAAAATTTTTCATTTTAATTTAGATTGAACGGCTTTAAAAAACTGTAAAGTGGTGTAACCCTGAAGTAAAAATTTGTAAAATATTTTCCAGAACTTAATCATTGTTTAAGAAAATCTAGGTGAAAAGTTAATATATAGAAAATAAATATATCTATTTATATAAAACAAATTATTTTGGTTATACCACACTGATTTCATTAGGCAGGCAAAGTTTATTTTTTATTTTTATAATACTTAATTTTTTATTGCTTATTTTTACAAAGCTATAACAGTATATTAAGAAATTAATTTTAGATAGATTATGCCAAATGGCATTTTTCTTTCTTCTTTTATTGAGACCAGTCTGTTACACCACCAAGACGTTTTTATTTTAAGTGCTGCAAAAAAAAAAAAAATTTTACTTAATTGTTCATTATAGAATAAGTATATTTAAGTAATTGTCTGTATGAACTCATGTACATTATATATAATAAAAATATAATAATTTTAGACAATCTGTTTTTTTAGAAAAGGATGGTATTATAATTATGTTTGTTATTATAAATGTGTTTGTTCCTATTTGCTATTATGATTACTCTTTGTTTACATGTTTCATTTTTATTTTGCTCATGCTCAGTGTTTTTATATATATATATATATATATAATCTATAATATAATAAAAAATATAATAATTTTAGACAAATGATGCCAAACAATATACTATATTATTACAAATTGTATTTTCTAATGAGATCAAGTAACTGTGTAACAGTTCAAGTAACTGTCTGTATGAAGTGCATGTACTTCACAGATCCAGGCAAAAGTTGCCACTGTTGCATATTATTTTCATATCACTGAGAAATGAAAGAATTGTTTTTATCTTTGTGTGTAGCTGCGGTGGATTACCTGGCTAAGAATGTGAGCTTGTCCACACAGAGAAGGATGAAGCTCGGCGAGCACTCGGCTGTGCTCGGACTGCTACAGGTGGAGACGGGACAGGCGTATTGATGGATCTCGAACTGAACATCCACTCATCTGTTTCACCAGCATCCCTCCATTCTTTCTGCAGTGCCCACACGTGGTCCATCTGACTAGGAGTGAACGAGACCAAGAGAAGTTAAAAAATCACGGGCAGTCTTAGACTTTCTACCTATAGCAGCGTGAATACAAAAGCCATTCCACATAAAAACAGACACTATTGTGCCGCATCTCCTTACTCATCCCGATCCTTTCTCTCTTTCACAACAAAGAGACCCTTTCAGGGCTTCAGAAAGAAGCCGAGGGAAAATGAGCATCAATTGTCTGAGCCCAAATCACTAAAGCCCTGCCCGTCGGCATCCAGTGTTAGCACACATAGGCTACAGCTGCAGCTGTTGCCCATTCCAAACTGTTCGGACCATGTTGTTTATAGAAAATGATGGTATTATAATTATATTTGTTATTATAAATGTGGTTGTTCCTATTGCTGTTGCATTTACTATTGTAATTACTCTTTGTTTACATGTTTCATTTTTATTTTTCTCATGTTTAGTTCCTGTTTCTATTTTAACCACAGGGCCTTGCTTTGTAACATTACATTTCTGATGGATATACACAGAGAGATGCTGACATTCCACAAAACCCCGGGCTAGTCAATGTGTTTCATCTGGGTTGGTGGAGCCTTGATATGGGGCAAAAAGCAGTCTGTGACCTTCTCTTTATGGGTGGAAAGTGTTTTAGGGTTATCAGTGTTATGATGGTTTTGTCTTAAAAACATACACTGTTCTGAAATATGATGACCAAATGACAAAAATACATTGTTTTCATTATAGTATTTTTTGCAATGAACACAGGCTAATTCTTGTCTGTGGTCACTATAATTACCATTATAATGAGCCCTTATGGGCAAATGCCAATTTTAGCATTCTATGGCTTTTAATATACTTTCCCATATGCTTCTCTGCTATTCATGGAAAGTATAGCTTACGATTTATCCAAGAACTTAAAAACAATCAGATATTAGCCATTGAATGGCCGAAGGGCGATTTGTGAATTTATGTTTCAGACGTTTGGAAGCGGATGTACTAAATTGGTAGCACTTTTTTATTCATGAGGAAATTAATTTGTCTCTGTGGTCACTGTAAAATGAACTGTAGAATGGGAATCAGATTTTTCACAGTTAGTAGAGAGAAGTGGACTTTTACTGTAAGTCTTATGCCATTTACATAGAAAGTGTGATGGTGTCTGAATAATTGTCTTGAAGAAAAAAAAATCTCCAAAATTTTACATTGAGAGATGGAATATATGACCACATTTATGGATTCTGTGTTTACATTTAATGTTTGCCTCAATGGCTCCTTATTCCACGTTTCTCAACAGTGTTTTTAACCTCAGAGACAATTTCTGTGGCTAAGATGAACTGAAACTAAACTGTGCTCCAGTGTGCCCTAAAATGCCATATATATTCAGGACAATAACTGAAACATGAACACGTGACCATGTGCCAACTTAAGACTGAGGACATTTCCATTTTAACACTTACAATATTTTGTAGTAAATGAAAAAGACAAAAAAGAGATGTGAAAAAAAAAAATCATGTTTTTAGTGTGTAGCACTCATTCTACTGCAAGCATTAATCTGCCTTTGGGATATTTGAAGCACTGTCCGACTGGGCGATACACCTTTCCCAGATCTCATTTCAACCTCAGTTGCTCTTTATTCTTTCATTGTTTACCTTTATGCGCATATGTAACTTTCTTTGATATATTTCCGTTCAGCATGTGTGTATATTATCATGGCATAATTTATTCAGCTGTATGAAATACTAGCGTAGTGGGAACTTGTATTGGCATTTACTACCTTCAGCCTGTTGGTGTCTTTACTGTAGCACTGGCATATCTGTTATGGATTAAAGCTCAAAAAAGTGGACAAAGAAACACAGATTGCTTCTTTCTTTCTCAAAACCCACTATATGGATCATGCAATAGTCAAATATATGCTCATGGGGCATATATGTTAAAATATGTTTTCTATTTAAAAACGCTCAAACGTTTTATTACACGTTTAATAGTTGACTCAGTGATGATATATGGTCAGAAGAAGTATCGTGTAAGCCTGCTTTACAATCTAGTACTAAATTTATGAAGAGCTTTTGAATCTGAAATGCTCATTTTCTGTAATACTTTAAACATGAAAATCTATTGGCATTTATCATATACACTCTTTTCACTGCTTTGATGTTGCTGTCAACTATAATCATGATTTAATCCCCATCTTAACAATGCTGTATTTTTATAGCCACTTTGAAGTCAAGAGCATCATGACAGTTGTGGTGATTTAAGATACTAAAAATATCAGTTTCCAGTAATTGAGTTTCCCTGGAAGTGAATAGAGTGAAGTGTTGCAGACAGTGTCACAACAGAGACTCTCAGAGCACTGCATTCACAGAAGAGCTGCAGGGCCTGAGGGAATTTACTGCGTTTCTTATGGGGGCACTGAAGGCTGGGCACTGAATACCAGCCAATGTGTAATGGCATTAACGGCCCAAGATGCAGGCGTTCGTTGCACCTCCACTCAAATCGAGCACCTCTCTGATGATGGATTAACTCTCAGTGTTTAATTAAGATCTTTAAAGGAACATACATTGTAAACAAGTTTGAGTGCGGCCATCTGGGTTCATTCAACGCATTCACACAGTGAGGGAATCTTTCTGGAATGTGATTTTGCACTGAGGAATCCTCTTTATGATTCAGCTGTCCTCAATGTGATGTCATAAAATATCATTTCAGATATTTCTAATATTACTGTTAGGGGAGCAGCTGCTGGGATGATCTCATAAACAGTCAAATTTGCTGTTTGGATGGTCATGACAGTTATTTGTCCTTTGACAGTCATAGATGCTAAACATATTTTTAGTTTTTATTTATTATACTGTATATTATTTAGATATATTTATTGTTATAGAAAAATACATTTAAGGAAATTTGTGTATGTGATACGGAAAGAAAGAATGAAACACTGAAGACACATTTATTATATTTGGACTATATTATATACTATATATATTTTGCCGATAATCGAATCAGTATTTGATGTCTGAAATTTGTCATACATACATGACAAATTATATTATGTTAATGTAATATTTGTACATTTATTAATAAATAATCTAGTATATTACATTAAATATATTTTTTATTAATAGGCCTAATATAATGTATTAATAACATTACATTATATTAGATTATTTATTAAACAAATTAAAGTAATATTATAATTACAATATAATTATAATATAAAATATGGTTTTAATATACTTTCCCATATGCTTCTCTGCTATTCATGGAAGGTATAGCTTACGATTTATCCAAGAACCTAAAAACAATCAGATATTAGCCATTGAATGGCCAAAGGGCGATTTGTGAATTTATGTTTCAGACGTTTGGAAGCGGATGTACTAAATTGGTAGCACTTTTTTATTCATGAGGAAATTTATTTGTCTCTGTGGTCACTGTAAAATGAACTATAGAATGGGAATCAGATTTTTCACAGTTCGTAGAGAGAAGTGGACTTTTACTGTAAGTCTTATGCCATTTACATAGAAAGTGTGATGGTCTCTGAATAATTGTCTTTGACATTTATGGATTCTGTGTTTACATTTAATGTTTGCCTCAATGGCTCCTTATTCCACGTTTCTCAACAGTGTTTTAACCTCAGAGACAATTTCTGTGGCTAAGATGAACTGAAACTAAACTGTTTCAACTGTAAACAAATTAAAGTAATGTTGGAAATGTTGGAAATGACATTTTATGACCACATTACATCGAGGACAGCTGAATCATTTTTCATTTTTTCAGCCATTATTTTCCAAATATTATTAACATAAACTGAAAAATCGAATAACTAAACTAAATAAATATATAATTTGAAATTATATTTTAAAAAAATAGCCTAGGTGAATAAATAAGTTAAATGAATAGGTGAATAAATAACCACTATCATCAATAAAATTAAAGAACTGACTTTGCAGTGAGGGGAAATTTAAAGAATTTCTGAGACGTGGTGCTTTCATGATAATGAGTATTTTGGGTCACTCACACGTTGTTATTTGGAGGTATGAACATGCCACGAGGTACAGACTGATTAAAACATGTCTGAAGAATTCACCACGACACCCCCGTCCCCTCCTTTGACTGTTATTATTATGTTTTAGAAACTCTGCGGTGTCAACCTCTCGAAAACGTAACAAAGAAAGCACTTACAAAGCCTAACATCTCCTTAAATCCCATAATTATTCCAGGATACATTATGTACCTGAGCCCGGGTGTCTGATCTTCACCGAAGGGATTCCACATTCCTACAATCAGCTTACACCGACAGATCGCATGATTGCCTAATAACCTGGATCGGTAAGTAGAGCGCTTAGCAGAAGATTGTTACAGAGAGAAGAATGTATCCCTTTGACAGACTCCATTGTTCGACATATAGCCTACTGCTTCTGTGAAGCATTATACTCTTCAAAAATGGATTTTTTTTTAGTACAGATGTCAATAGGGTAAGACAATTTTATTTCGCCACGCAATTCACGCGAAGTTTCCCTTTTTAAACCCAGTATTTCATTTGCTGTCTCCAGGCACCTAATACAAGATTATAGTCCCCCATAGTAACCCTGGCATCCCTCAACCAAGCCTCGGTGTGCCCCTCCTTGCCCCCAGACTCTAATCTCCACACTCCAGCATCACTGCAAAATTAAGCTGTGAGAGAGCTGGGAGTCGTTTTAACCCCGCTCGGTCTAAAAGGCTCTCAATGCACCCTATTGAAAATGCAGTCAACATTTTTTCCCCCTACCTATATGTCTCATTCGTATCTCTCTTTAATGTCGCGCGTCGTCTATTTCTCTCCGTCCTCCGTGCCATCTCACCTCACTGAGGAAAAAAAGGCGGGATTTCAAGGTGAACATGCAGGTATAAATCCAAGAGATAAATCGCGGAGCCTGTTTACAGGTTGCTCGCGAAATCTACAGTCAGCTTGCGAATTTATTCATAAAATAATCCAAAATGGAGGCGAAATACTACATAATGAAAATAATGAGCAGGCGCTGCTGCATTCTGTGGAGAGATACATACATAAACCTTCTTTTTGAAGGCAGTCAGCTCTTAACAAAGCGTGACGCCTGGGTATAGACTCTAATACACAAAGACAATTTTTCTAGATAATAGTCTATCACGCAGGATACAATTTAAATTAAAAAATGCAATTTTCACCTTGAAATGAACAAATGATTACAATTTCTATACAAATTAAGGCATCCAGGCAGCGCCTCAGTGCACAGCTCAGGCCATGAAACCTGACATAATTACCGTGACATACATTCTCAAATATTTGTATTTTGTCCATAGCTTTAAAACATGCCAGTCTGCCGCCTTCTGATCTCACCTTCTGGGGCAAACACAGAAAAAAAGAGTGGAAATCATCTAAGATGAAAAGCCCTTCAACAGGCAAGATAAAAATGTGTAAAAAGGGATAGGGGAAAAATACAACAAACAGTAAATTGCTGCCGTTCAGCCTGACAGCCCCTGGAGTTATCTCTAAAAGCCAAATTACTGAGTCTTATCATGGGAATCATATCTAACGGTTATCTACTCAGATGTTTCTCTCTCTCCCTCCTCTCTGCACCCCCTGTTCTTTGCCAGAGATTGCATTTATTAATGATTAGGAATATCTTTAGAAGAAAAGATGTTTA